GCGCCCAGAGGCCCTGTCACCTCTGGGAGTCAAGCTGTGGAAGTAGAGAGTCGTGGGCTTGACTCTGGTGGGCACCCAAAAGCACCTCGCCCAGCCCGGGGAGAGCCACCCTGGGCGGGTAAAGCGGCGCCCAGAGGCCCCTGTCACCTCTGGGAGTCGAGCTGTGGAAGTAGAGAGTCGTGGGCTTGACTCTGGTGGGGCACCCAAAAGCACCTCGCCCAGCCCGGGGAGAGCCACCCTGGGCGGGTAAAGCGGCGCCCAGAGGCCCCTGTCGACTGATTCGTGGCCCTGGTACTCTGCCCGGTGGACAGCACTCAGCCCCGTGTTGGATGAGCAAAGGTGCGAAGCGTAAAGCGGCGCCCAGAGGCCCCTGTCACTCTGGGAGTCAAGCTGTGGAGTAGAGAGTCGTGGGCTTGACTCGGGTGGGGCACCCCAAAAGCACCTCGCCGTGCCCGGGGAGAGCCACCCTGGGCGGGTAAAGCGGCGCCCAGAGGCCCCCTGTCACCTCTGGGAGTCAAGCTGTGGAAGTAGAGAGTCGTGGGCTTGACTCGGGTGGGGCACCCAAAAGCACCTCGCCGTGCCCGGGAGAGCCACCCTGGGCGGGTAAAGCGGCGCCCAGAGGCCCCTGTCACCTCTGGGAGTCGAGCTGTGGAGTAGAGGTCGTGGCTTGACTCTGGTGGGGCACCCAAAAGCACCTCGCCCAGCCCGGGGAGAGCCACCCTGGGGGGTAAAGCGGCGCCCAGAGGCCCCTGTCACCTCTGGGAGTCAAGCTGTGGAGGTAGAGAGTCGTGGGCTTGACTCGGGTGGGGCACCCAAAAGCACTTCGCCATGCCCGGGGAGAGCCACCCTGGGCGGGTAAAGCGGCGCCCAGAGGCCCCTGTCACCTCTGGGAGTCGAGCTGTGGAAGTAGAGAGTCGTGGGCTTGACTCTGGTGGGGCACCCAAAAGCACCTCGCCATGCCCGGGGAGAGCCACCCTGGGCGGGTAAAGCGGCGCCCAGAGGCCCCTGTCACCTCTGGGAGTCGAGCTGTGGAAGTAGAGAGTCGTGGCTTGACTCTGGTGGGGCACCCAAAGCACCTCGCCCAGCCGGGGAGAGCCACCCTGGGCGGGTAAAGCGGCGCCCAGAGGCCCCTGTCACCTCTGGGAGTCGAGCTGTGGAAGTAGAGAGTCGTGGGCTTGACTCTGGTGGGGCACCCAAAAGCACCTCGCCATGCCCGGGGAGAGCCACCCTGGGCGGGTAAAGCGGCGCCAGAGGCCCCTGTCACCTCTGGGAGTCGAGCTGGGAAGTAGAGAGTCGTGGGCTTGACTCTGGTGGGGCACCCAAAAGAACCCGCCCAGCCCGGGGGAGCCCCCTGGGCGGGTAAAGCGGCGCCCAGAGGCCCCTGTCACCTCTGGGAGTCGAGCTGTGGAAGTAGAGAGTCGTGGGCTTGACTCTGGTGGGGCACCCAAAAGCACCTCGCCCAGCCCGGGGAGAGCCACCCTGGGCGGGTAAAAGCGGCGCCCAGAGGCCCCTGTCGACTGATTTCGTGGCCCTGGTACTCTGCCCGGTGGACAGCACTCGCCCGTGTTGGATGAGCAAAGGTGCGAAGCGTAAAGCGGCGCCCAGAGGCCCCTGTCACCTCTGGGAGTCAAGCTGTGGAAGTAGAGAGTCGTGGGCTTGACTCGGGTGGGGCACCCCAAAAGCACCTCGCCGTGCCCGGGAGAGCCACCCTGGGCGGGTAAAGCGGCGCCCAGAGGCCCCTGTCACCTCTGGGAGTCAAGCTGTGGAAGTAGAGAGTCGTGGGCTTGACTCTGGTGGGGCACCCAAAAGCACCTCGCCGTGCCCGGGGAGAGCCACCCTGGGGGGTTAAAGCGGCGCCCAGAGGCCCCTGTCACCTCTGGGAGTCGAGCTGTGGAAGTAGAGAGTCGTGGGCTTGACTCTGGTGGGGCACCCAAAAGCACCTCGCCCAGCCCGGGAGAGCCACCCTGGGCGGGTAAAGCGGCGCCCAGAGGCCCCTGTCACCTCTGGGAGTCGAGCTGTGGAGGTAGAGAGTCGTGGGCTTGACTCTGGTGGGGCACCCAAAAGCACCTCGCCATGCCCGGGGAGAGCCACCCTGGGCGGGTAAAGCGGCGCCCAGAGGCCCCTGTCACCTCTGGGAGTCGAGCTGTGGAAGTAGAGAGTCGTGGGCTTGACTCTGGTGGGGCACCCAAAAGCACCTCGCCATGCCCGGGGGAGCCACCCTGGGCGGGTAAAGCGGCGCCCAGAGGCCCTGTCACCTCTGGGAGTCGAGCTGTGGAAGTAGAGAGTCGTGGGCTGACTCTGGTGGGGCACCCAAAAGCACCTCGCCATGCCCGGGGAGAGCCACCCTGGGCGGGTAAAGCGGCGCCCAGAGGCCCCTGTCACCTCTGGGAGTCGAGCTGTGGAAGTAGAGAGTCGTGGGCTTGACTCTGGTGGGGCACCCAAAAGCACCTCGCCATGCCCGGGGAGAGCCACCCTGGGGGGTAAGCGGCGCCCAGAGGCCCCTGCACCTCTGGGAGTCGAGCTGTGGAAGTAGAGAGTCGTGGGCTTGACTCTGGTGGGGCACCCAAAAGCACCTCGCCCAGCCCGGGGAGAGCCCCCTGGGCGGGTAAAGCGGCGCCCAGAGGCCCCTGTCACTTGGGAGTCGAGCTGTGGAAGTAGAGAGAGTGGGCTGACTCTGGTGGGGCACCCAAAGCACCTCGCCCAGCCCGGGGAGAGCCACCCTGGGCGGGTAAAGCGGCGCCCAGAGGCCCCTGTCACCTCTGGGAGTCGAGCTGTGGAAGTAGAGAGTCGTGGGCTTGACTCTGGTGGGGCACCCAAAAGCACCTCGCCCAGCCCGGGGAGAGCCACCCTGGGCGGGTAAAGCGGCGCCCAGAGGCCCCTGTCACCTCTGGTTCTCCTGGATGTTAACGGTCCTGGTAGCCCGAGGCCCCACAGCCTCTGCACTATGCCCAGCCGGGGCACCTCGATGGCGGGGAAGTTCCCTCTAAAACGGCCCTGGAGGTGTGGACTTAGAAAATTTTCGCTTGTGACTTTTTTCCTCTCAAAACTGGGTTTCTGAAATCGTGCCGATGGTAGTTGTGAATCAGGGGTAAACTCCTTGAAACGGGAAAACTCTCAAAGCCCTAGAGGTCTAGGGCTTCGCAGGGTTTATCGGTGAAAAGACTTTGTCATTTTTCGAGCGAGTGAAATTTTGACAAAGTGTTTTTACCAGTAAACCCTGCAAAGCCCTAGAGGTCTAGGGCTTCGCAGGGTTTATCGGTGAAAAGACTTTGTCATTTTTCGAGCGAGTGAAATTTTGACAAAGTGTTTTTACCAGTAACCCTGCAAAGCCCTAGAGGTCTAGGGCTTCGCAGGGTTTATCGGTGAAAACACTTTGTCATTTTTTCGGCCTCAAAATGAGAAAAAAATTCAACGTAAAATAATAAAAATAAAATACAAGACGAGGAGATGATATCAATGTGACAAATGGAAAAAATTCACATAAATACCCTCGAACAGGCTCTCTCGGCTCCAGCGTAGCTTCATTCTGCCTTTTTAGAAAAAATCATTTTGCTTGTCATGTGATCATTTTCAACCCCATTTTCTCGTTGTTTCGCTGGGTCCGCAGCTGGGGAGGGGGCTGCTTCCCTGGATGCCTGCCCAGCCAGGGCTCCATCATCTGGGCCACACACATCCAGTGGAGAGGGGGCTGCTTCCCTGGATGTCTGCCCAGCCAGGGCTCCATGATCTGGGCCACACATCCAGCTGGAGAGGGGGCTGCTTCCCGGATGTCTACCCAGCCAGGGCTCCATGATCTGGGCCACACACATCCAGCTGGAGAGGGGGCTGCTTCCCTGGATGTCTGCCCCAGCCAGGGCTCCATCATCTGGCCACACACATCCAGCTGGAGAGGGGGCTGCTTCCCTGGAGTCTACCCAGCCAGGGCTCCATCATCTGGGCCACACACATCCAGCTGGAGAGGGGGCTGCTTCCCTGGATGTCTACCCAGCCAGGGCTCCATGATCTGGGCCACACACATCCAGCTGGAGAGGGGGCTGCTTCCCTGGATGTCTACCCAGCCAGGGCTCCATGATCTGGGCCACACACATCCAGCTGGAGAGGGGCTGCTTCCTGGATGTCTACCCAGCCAGGGCTCCATGATCTGGGCCACACACATCCAGCTGGAGAGGGGGCTGCTTCCCTGGATGTCTGCCCAGCCAGGGCTCCATGATCTGGGCCAACACACATCCAGCTGGAGAGGGGGCTGCTTCCCTGGATGTCTACCCAGCCAGGGCTCCATGATCTGGGCCACACACATCC